CTGAGCACCCGGAAACGTTAATGCATGGGTTTGTCCCTCCTGAAATTAAATACATTACATGCCTTAACATATGAGTTTTCATCATGTCATGATTTGATTTGAAAACACTCAATAAGGTTGGTCGGATATTGTAATTATGTGCAAGCTTTATACCTGCCATACACAGACCCTTATTCTGATGAAGTTCCACGCATGGATCATAAACAAGCATAACATGCTATCTCACAAGGCTCTTTTAGGTTGGCTACTCATTGCTAAAGGACGATGATTATGATGATGATGATGATGATGATGATGATGATGAGTAAAGGTGTCGTATAAGATTGGTCAAATCTACCTGCCAATGAAACGTATGTATGACGAAATTAATACGTCATAATTATTCATTTTAATAACAATGGAAGTAACAATGTGCACTCACAGGCGGCATTATCAGTGTTTGGACACCCCATCCCTATCTGCCCCTGGACCCCTACTACAACCCTGAAAAAAAATTCAACACTCTAAGGCTTACTATAAGGTACCAAATACAAAACCACCGATGAAATTATATAAAAAAAAAAAATTCCACTATCAAAATTATAGTTATAGAAAGGTGTAAAGCCTACTATATGTCCATTTGCCAAACAATGTGGAACACGGGAAATCGTCGTTTCGGCGACTGAGGCGCATTCCGGCGGGATTTCGCTGCATCATTCATTTACATCAATAAAAAGAACTTGAATTCCACAGCTTACTTAATGCAAGTCCAATGAATATCAATATTCTATCGATTTTTTCTATTTCACGGTAATTTTTGACTTGTCGTTGCCATTTTGGATTCTGATACCTGTGTGTTATACGCGATCTGATTGGACGTCCAATTTGGCTCGTCCAATCAGATCGCGTATTTCAACCCAGGTATCAGACTGCAAAATGGCTACGACAATTCAAAAAATTCCGTGAAACAGAAAAAATCGGAATGATAGTGATATTCGTTGGACTTGAATTACATAAACTTAGGAATTCTAGTTCTTTTTATTAATGTTAATGAATGATGCAGCGAAATCCCGCCGGAATACGCCTCAGTCGCCGAAACGACGATTTCCTGTGTTCCACATTGTTTGGCAAATGGACATATAGTAGGCTTTACACCTTTCTATAACTATAATTTTGATAGTGGAAAAAATTTTTTTTTAATATAATTTCATCGGTGGTTTTGTATTTGGTAACTTATAGTAAGCCTTAGAGTGTTGAATTTATTTTCAGGGTTGTAGTAGGGGTCCAGGGGCAGATAGGGGTGGGGTGTCCAAACACTGATACTGCCGCCTGTGTGTGCACTCAGTAATGCAAAGGGACTTTTTTCCTGATTTGTCCAGATGTTTAAGCAAAGTGACGAAATGCACCGTTGAACATATTGCATTGGAAGTATGTTTCGATTGTGCATTAATTTGTTATGTTTGTTTTTAAATCTATCAAGTGTGTGTGTGTTGGTTTTCTTTACTGGAATTCCTGGGATAGACTTATAATTATGTGTTGAGGAAAATGTCATGTATCGGAAGTTACTGTTTTAAACATTTTAATTGCAGAGACATTGAATTCAAAATTGAAACCAGAACATATCAATTTATATATCTTTCCAAATAAGGTGAGTTAATAAGATTTTACGGAATATATTTTTTTGGATGCACTGTGGTACAAACTGTACTCTAATCTGATTAAGAGACGAATAATAAACAAAGAAAAACTGATTCTCAAATATGACTTAAACGTTGACATTTCGTAAAAGCACTTGTCAATCAATTAATTATTGGAGAGAGGCTGGCGTCAAAATGACGTCATGGTAACGTCAATGATAGAAATTCGCTTGAAAAAGACATTTTTGTTCCTATTTTTTCAAAAGTTAGTTATCAGCCCACACTTTACGAAACTTAAAATTTTCATAGAATCAAGAGCAATTTTTCACGAAACGTTTGGACATTAAAAATAAAATTTCGTAAATGTGTGTTGATATCAAAATCTCTATCAGAAGAGGATAGGTCATTGACGCGTAAAACGAAATATGAGATGTCATTGAAGATGATTACTCCCGTGAAATGATAAATTTATCAGATTTTTCCTACGCTGTTTGTTCTCAAATTTTGAACAAGACCCATGCAATGTTAGTGATCAGAAATTGTGATTAAATTTTAAATAGATTTGACGAATTTTCAATGCTAATACTAAAGTTAAGCCATCATGTCCTAATTTTTGGACGTGAGGATTTTACATTAGCTTGAAATATAATCCAATAGAGTGAACTTGTAATGTTAGTTCGATTATTAAGAAATACAGCTGTAGTGAAATAATGAATCTTTAGTTAGTTTCAAATGGGGCCATTTCTATATCTAAACGACTCAAGCCCTTTAACTTCATAGCAACCACAAGTTGACACATAGCAACCTTCTACATACATTTGTATTCCCACAAACCATCCTAAGGTCCAATGCAAACAACCTTCCGCCCTTAGCAACCGTCTTTTAGTACATAATATCAATATAGCACCCTTAGCCACCGCTTGACTGCTTATGGCAACCACTGTCATGCCCCTAGCAACGGCTTTTTGGTCCATAGCAACATTTAGCGTCAGTCGATTTTTTGCGACGTTTAGCGTCAGCGTTGCGACATTTAGCGTCAGGGCAAGTGCGACGTTTAGCGTCAGTGTTGCGACGTTTAGCGTCGATTGCATGTTTATTCTCATAACAGATTCACCGAGACAGGGGTGATAACTAAACATATCTGGTTATCTATTTCAGGATTTGTCCAACCTCTTCGCATCTAGTATCATTGGGAACAATCTAAAGTTCAATTTGCTGTTGTTGAATGAACAGGATGAGTTTGATCTTAAGGTAATACATGCATTTTTGTTCACTTGACTTATTATCACTATCTCAATCTGTGTAATTTGCCAATAGTCCAGATAACCGTCGGTATGCGAGGGTTCTAATACCGTGAGGCGAATCAAGCGAGGAGCAGGGGGTCTGACCCCCTTAGAATTTGAACATTTACGTTTGTTAAAAGAAAATCGTAGACAATTTTGACAAAAGTGGGGTTAACTACTACCTCATTCCTTTAAGGATCCCCCTCGGCAAAAATCCTAGATCCGCCCATGTTCTGCATTGAAATTAAAAACGCCTTTGTTCGAAATATATGTAGATCAAGATGAAATAAAAATAGATTTGTTAAATGCAATAAGTTTTTTAATTGTAGTAAATATTAATTAAATATTAAAGTTGTACGAACTCTACTTAAAAAAACCACTTTACAATTACCACCCTATAATGTACTATAGTATAAGCATGCCACGAAGTATGAAAATCACTATACGACACCTTAAGATATTCACTGTATTACGTACATGTTCTACATGCATAACCACTTAATACTTATCATGACCATTAACCGACGTACTTTTACCACATCATGACGTACAATTAGTGCTGTATGACACTCTGTTACCATGTAACGAGGTATAAAAACCACTATATATGACGTACTATAACAGCTTTACGACACACGATATCCACTATTCGACGCATGGTAACCACTCTCAATATGACGTACAATAACGGCTTTAAGAAGCATAATCACTTTATACTAAGCATTATGACCACTTTACGACGCACGATAACAACTTGCGACGTAGGATAACAATTTTACGACGTACGATAAAAATTCACGACGTACAATAACGACTTTAAGAATCACGTACTGTAACCACCATATGGCACACGACAATCACTTTACGACGTATAATAACCATCATACGAAGTACGATAACCATAACTATAACAACGTAGTAGTAGACGATGTTTTCTAATATTATTCACTTATTTTCAGATGTTTGTGTGTAGCTGCTGTTGTTGCAACATTGCAAGCGGTCAAAACATATGGGTGTTTCGGATCTGTATCTGTGACTGAATATAGAATACTGCATGATTTAATAGACGGAACATACAAAGTCCCGGTCAAGGAGAGGACCAGTACTGAAAGAGCATTAATACGGCGGTATTCAAGAGCCAGACAAAATCTTCAAGTAATTGATAACAAAATATATTATAACGGAAAAGAGCTCTTACATGAAAAGAAATGTAAATATGTTGTCAAGGAAACAGTCACAAAATGTAAAGGCTCGGGCATTCTCAAAGTGTATCATATTCTGAAGAGAAATAATCAGGAATCAAAGAGAAAATGGTACAAGCAGAACGTAATTAGTTACCTGAATATCAAAAGAAAAATTTAAAGTTTAAAAACAAGGCCGCACTTTAGCATGTAACTAGTAATAACGTTCATGATGCTCTACAAATAGATCTGGTAGATATGTCTAGAGACCCAGTTATTCATAAAAAAATTAAGTCCAAATACATTTTAAGTGTCTTAGACATTTTCAGTTGGTTTGTTTGGCTCAGACCTTTGCCAAATAAATCTGCTATAGCAGTAACAATTGACAATCATATTTTCGGAATTCGGAAAACCTAAAATAATTCAGCATGACTGTGGCAAAGAAATTAGCGGGCAAGGCAAAAACTAAAAATTAAAGACATCAAAAGCCGCCCATATCATCCTCAATCGCAAGGTAAAGTGGAACGTATGCACAAACATTTAAAACAAAAAAATTGCTTTCGACATATCAAATGTAAATAAGTTCGGTGTTAATTGGGCGAAAAGATCGCCAGTCTTCCAAAATATTCTTAACAACGAACCCAAGGAATGTCTTGCTTGGCGTTCTCCATACGAAGTGTATTATGGACGGAATCTCACGAACAAAGCAGAATCTTCAAGTTGCACAAGAAAAAAAAATTCGTAAAATTAGGGACGATGCACAGGCAGCAACATTTAGATTGAATAAAAGAAACGACAAACCAGTTCAAACCACGACTTACAAAATTAATGAAAGAGTAATGGTAAGATATAAACCAAAAGTTTCATTAAACAAAAAGAAATTTGTGGTTGATGGTTTTATAAGAAACAAGAATAAGACTATGTATGAGGTTGAATTCAAACTACCAAAGGAGAATACATCTAACAAAGAATGGGTAAATGTAACTGATATAGCGACGCTTCCACCAGAATGTGAGAAAAAAATAAGACGAAACCATAAACAACACTATTACATTCAGAAAAGTAAGGCTTCATCTTTGCGAGATCTTCAATCGGAATTTGGACTTGACATCGGTTATAATCCTCCGGGAAATGGCAATTGTCAGTTTTCGGCCATAGCATTTCAGTAAAACAATATTGGTGTTTTTAGATCTGAACCAACATTGCGCAATGACGTTATAAGTTTCTTGAGGAGGAGCTCCTTTTGGCATGAATCAATTACAGAATCCCCGACAAATGATCTATTCCGTATTGGACAAAATGCGGAATATGGTGATCACATTACATTACAAGCAATTACAAATATCTATAATGCACAGATTTTAGTTGTTTCAACTTTAAACAGCAGGACTACATTAATAATTCCAAATGGTCTCCCTGACGGCGAGGTAAATGAAAATTTACCTATGATCGTTCTAGGTCACTATCCCGAAGGTGAAGGGGAACATTATGTAGCCCTAAGCTATGACAAGAAAATAGTTCGAAATATAATTTACGAATCAGAGCAGATATATTTTGTTGAAACTAATAGTGATCATGATAGCAACAATGACACAGATAACTTACCAAGTGATATCGATACTGCCAATGATAATTTGGATATCAATGACACAGAGAACTTACCAAGTGATATCGATACTGCAAATGGCAATTTGGATAACAATGACACGGAGAACTTATCAATTGATATCGATACTGCAAATGACAATTTGGATAACAATGACACGGAGAACTTACCAAGTGATATCGATACTGCAAATGGCAATTTGGATAACAATGACATGGAAAACTTATCAAGTGATATCGATACTTCAAATGACAATAATTTGGATAACAATGACACGGAGAACTTACCAAGTGATATCGATACTGCCAATAATAGTGTTAGCGTTACTGCCAATGACTTGAATAACGATGATATTTCTCTGCGCTCACTTGTCGAAAATATGCGACGTCGACGAAGACCGATTGCACCGAGTTCGTTCATATTTACAAATATACAACTACTTATACAAGTTAATATAGGGCGATACTGTATAAACGAAAATCCGGCAATAAGATACGTCTTAAGCAGATGTCATCTTAATAGTGTTGTGCAGTTATGTGACATTTACCTACCTAGAATTTACATTTCAACTGATACAAGAAAAGCATTGATGCAAAGCATCAAAGGGCGTCCAAGCAAGAAATGCAGAAAGTGTCCCTTATTATGTTATCGCTATTAGTGAAGACCCCCTCTTAAGGTATCTGTTCACACTTAGTAAAAATATGACACTGGTTATATTACCATGTTGATCATGTTGAGCATGTTGTTTATTATACAATAATTGTAATATCTGTTTTATTATAAAAAATACAGATTTTATGAATATTGTTTCCTCTCTTTTTTTGTGTTTTAGGCTATTAGTGCTATTTTAATACTGAGTTTTTACGTTTAGTACTCTTTTTTAATTAAAATTGTAAAATAAATTTTAAGAATTCAATTGTCATATTGACCGACGATTATAAGTCAAAACTTAACTGGAAAAAGTCAGTAAATAACGGCTAATCTTTCAATATATAATATTGTTTATTTTTAAACCATGTACATGTATATTTGTATTTTTCTTTATCATTTTTTAAAATATCAATTTATTGTAAAATTCATAAAATCTAATCTGTAACTTTGAAAAATTCCTCGGCATCTTTACTAAACACGAATAACAAATAAAATAAAATGTTTCAAAGTTGATAGTGTCATATTAATACCATAAAAATGTACCTTTTTGCTCAATTATTGTACATATTTATTGTTTTTATCTCATATAGAGTTACAAACTAAGTGACAAACATTTATTTGGGAAAAAAGCTTATTTATCTGTAAAAAATTGGTTCTTTTCTGAAACGATATCAAACATCTACTCCAAAACCGGGAGAGACCGGGCAATAAACGTGTGATTCTATTCGCCGGTCACTAGTAAATACCGGTCAAAATGGACCGGGAGAGACCGGGAATTAACGATAGGAGTACATCCATCTATATATAGATTTTCGGAATGTTTAGGTAGACAGTAGACATTTAGGTCATCAACTTATCATTCTATGTACTACAAAATGATAAATAAAAAAACTGAAGAGACGGAAAAGGTTATTTCATTTGAAAATGTTTGCATTGCGAAATTCTCCAGTTCGCTATTCATTGTACATATCGCGACATTTCATTTTTAATTAATAATAATCAAGCACCCTCATACCGATCGGAATGATCGGCTTTTATTAATACCGACTAAAAGGCTCGAGAAGTTGCTGTCGCCCTTTCACAAAATCTGATTTCATTCCATAAAGGGGCGCCGCGCTTCGGCGCGGACGCCAATAATGCAGGATGTGCCGAATGTTGTAAGCGTGAGACGACTTTTGCTGAATTTTGGTCGGTTCAGTGGCCTAATATTAGAAATCCGAAATATTATAAGAGAATCCAGATGGGCCGAATGCTTGGTTGCACCTTCGGTTATGTACTGATGCCCTTTGTTGGTCCGATATTGCAGATATATGGTACAGAAGACCGTAAGAAATGGCATCGGTACATTACCGAAGTTGCAACCAAGACATAACCAAGTGTAAACCACTTAATATATGTGTAAAAACAGTTTAAAGATGAAAATATCCATTGACAAATTGTGATAATTTCAAAATAACGTGTGTCGAATGGAGAAGAAATGTTAAAAGTTTTTGTTAACAGATTAAAATAAATATTACACAGTATTCGAATAGTAACATTATAATTGCTATATGATGGTGTCATTTAAACATTTATATTATTATACCTCAATATATCCTTCAATGTAAAACTCCCATAGGGCTACAATGTGTTCTGATCGAATATCACCCTCCTAGAATATATTCCACGGGGAATATTTCTTATATCACCTTGGATCACAAAACTCTTACATAACTCATTTATGAAGCGATAATGCCTTAGTACTCAGTTAGCATAATATTATTTATTTCCTAGTCTGTCTGTCTGTCTGTCTCTTGCTTTTATCTATATACATTATACTTTTTTTGTGTAGATCGAACATTTACAGATCAAAATCGCTATAATTGTGAAGTGATGATCTGTATTTCTTTCAGGCAAAGACTGCTGACCTAAGGGTTTTTTTCCGGTATAATAAAATAAATAACACATGGCTGTCGGGGTGATAGAGGATATTGCCAACAATTGAACTGGCATATTACCATCGGCTGCGCCTCGGTGTAATATACCAGTTCTCGTGTTGACAATATCCTCTTTCACCCCGAAAGTCATGTGTTAATTATATATTATTATACCTCAATATATCCTTCAATGTAAAACTCCCATAGGCCTACAATGTGTTCTGATCGAATATCACCCTCCTAGAATATATTCCCCGGGGAATATTTCTTATATCACCCTGGGGCACATAACTCTTACATAACTCTGTATTCATAATAGCGATTATGCCTAAGTAACCAGTTAACATAATGCAAAAATATACATACTAACACAATTTAAATAGTTTATAAAAAAATCTTTATTTAGCAAAGAATCCCACGTGGAAAGCGAAAAGTTCGTGCGAAACCGTTACAAGCTAGTACATGTTCACGTGTATAAAAATTACTACATATGAAAATTTTATAGATAGATGATTATAAATAATTGTAATCTGGCATCCATTAATAATAATTATAATAATTTGATTTTGTTGTTGTTATTTATTTTCTAATGAAGAAATAATGATATGTCTGTCTGTCTGTTTGTCTTGTTTTTACCAATACATTTTTGTGTTTACAGATCATAATCGCTGTAATTTTGAACTGTTGATCTGTATTTTCTCTTATGAATGTTTTGGAACCTAAGGTTTTTTTCGGTATAATAAAATAAATAACATATGGCTGTCGGGGTGATAGAGGATATTGCCAACCCTTGAACTGGCATATTACCCTCGGCTGCGCCTCTTACACCACTCTGTATTGATAAAAACGATAATGCTTTAGTAACCAGTTAGCATAATGCAAAATGACAGCCATGTGTTATTTATATAATATTGTTAAGTTAATATTTGACATATAAGTAATTTTTAAATATACATGTTGGTATCCAACCAGCACAGCAAGAAAACATACTATTACGTCAAGTGTCTATTACGGTGGCACAGATGTGACACATGGGTGTCTTTATTTATCTTGTTCACACGAGATATTATCTTGTTCCCACAAGATATTATCTTGTTCCCACGAGATATTATCTTGTTCCTACGAAATAATTATCTTGTTCCCACGAGATAGTATCTTGTTCCCACGAAATAATTATCTTGTTCCCACGACATAATTATAGCCAATCTGAAGCTGTAAAATGGTAATATAGCAGTTACTTCCCATTATTTAGTTGAACATTTACTTGATTATATATACATTATATTCATGTATAACCATGTAGGTTGATCTTGAAAGTGCCACACTGTAGGGACATACAAAACCTTAACTACCAATTACTGGTAGTTAAAAGCGCATACCCTCGTCTTGTGACGCATTTGCATGCAAACTGATCTGGGTCGACACTGGAGGGATACATGTAAGTAGCCTTTCAAAACTCTGTATTTATAGGGCGGTGGCCCCGCAGTGGCGTTAATTCCACCACTCGCGAATTAGTAATAATCAAATACAAGTGTCTTAAATCAATGTAGCATGAAAAGGACCGTCTTCGCAGTCACAAAACCCATTTAACACGTGTTGCGTATATGCTTATAACGACCATTGTCGAACCATATCCCTCGACAAGCAAATGCGTCATCCTGTCAAGATCTGCACTGTTCGCTGTTGAATCAGTAGGTCAGATTTTAACTGTCAAAGCAGTTAACCCCTTGATTAGCTCACATGGTTTATACAGGTAAACTGCTTTGTTTGCCAGATAGAGTTGCATATTTTTCTTAACTTTTGACCAATTGACAGTAAAGGAATATGCAACTCTGTCCACGCCCCTATACCGTTCACAAACTTTCGGGACGGACACTTAGACACTCGGACGGACAATGGCAACGCTATATGGGGCACAAAAATATTGAAGAACACAAGCAATGCTAAAACGTATTGCTTCGGTGAGTTAAGAAGGCACATGCCCCCGCGCCCCATCCGGATCTGCAACTGGCCATGCACAATAATGTATGATAAATTTTACGTCGGGGGTAAACCAGAGGGTAAAATCACGGGTTAGTTTGATAGACTGTTACAGTATCCAATACAATAAATTACAAATAAACATATGAAAAGTTGAGACATTTATCGTTAACCGATTTGGACATTTATGAGCACCTAATTTGTTGCGACATTTTTCGTTAATTTTTGGACATTTATCGTTAAAGGAGTTTTGGACATTTATCGGCGATTGAGACATTTATCGTCAATTTTTGGACATTAATCGTCGTTTGGACATTTTACGAAGTTTGGACATATATCGGCGCTACAACATGCAGTGTCGTTAAACGGTAAACACTTGTAAACGGGACTTTAAAATATTGCTGTGCCACGGGAGTTCCGTCCATGATAAATATACCTATTTATTGTTTGGCAATGTTGACATGAGACTCATTAATTTTCGAAAGCTTTTTCGTTAGTTTCCGTAATTTATAACAGTTGCTAATTGATTTTTATTGATAGGAAAGTTCTCATACTTTATTTCATACTAATATACATGTATATAATTTCAAATTATACAGTCGTACAATGGACGATTGGCATTCACAAAAACTCAGAAGCAGATCTAGTCAAGTATCGAAATTAATGAAATCAATAAAAAATAAAGAACATAAATATTTTTTATTAAGATTCGAACCTATACCTTCAATTTGTTACTTGGAGTCTTAACGCCTCATAACCGAGTCTAGTTAGGCAAGTGTTGTTGTTTCGGTAACTAACCATGTGTACCGTTTACAATACTTTAAAGTCCGTACATTTACTTCGGAATCCGACAATTACCGACAAAAGGTCATTGAATATTCAAATGTCTCGGGGTCAATATTGACAAATAATATGAGCGTATTTCCACGTATTATAAACACAGCTATAAAGCATTAATGTCCCCAAGATTTCAGGGTGTTTTTTTATACTAATCGCTGTAATATTTAGAACAGTAAAAATTTCCAATAAATGATGATATAGTTTGAAATTTTATAGAAGCGTTCAGACCAAACATGTTTAACCAGCCATCTGTACATATACAGGATGATAAAATAAATAAATATATCATATATATAATTTGTAGATCTAGCAAATAGCAAATTAAATGGTATAAAAATAGGTAATAAAGTCCCTAACGGGCCTCTGTAATAAAAGAGCAAATATCTTTTTAAGATATACCAAAAACATTTACTTAATAATGTTTTATCAATGATTATATTTTGTTGTTTATTT